GTGGCCACTTCCTCTGGACCAGCCGGGGGGCGCTCTGGAGGGCCTGGTCTGGGCAGTTCCAGGGTGAGTCCATTCCCRTGGGTGGGGAGGTCCGTTTTGGAATGTTATTGAATGATTCTGACGAGCCACTTTATCAGCTGCTATTGCCGTGGAACAGATCAGATTTAGTGGCTTAACACACTGATATCATCTCCTGGTGCTGAGGGTCGGGAGCCCGTCACCGCTGGGCAGAGTCCCGGGCGTGGGGACTCACAGGCTGCAGCGAGATGCCATGGTGGCTGCGGTCCTCCCAGGCTGCCCTGGGGAAAGCTCACGTCTGAGCTCCCTCGTGTGCTCGACGACGAGACCCAGGTCCTCCCTCRTACCCCCCTCGGTCCCTGGCCACGTGGTGCTGTCTCCAGGGCAGCCTGGGCCTCGTGGCCTGGGTCAGCAGAAGGAACAGGTGACAGGGACGAGGGAGGAGGGACCCTACTGGGCAGGCTGGCCTCCGACATGACGTGGGCCACGTGTGCACACCTGATGTTGGAGCAAGGTCCAGCCACGCTCTGGGGCAGCTTGAGGGATTCCCACGGCAGCCCCACCAAGCCCCAYGGCTCGGGAGTGAGAACGCTGGGTCGAGACAGAGTGTCCCCACCCTCCGGTGACACGGGAACCGATCTCGTTGGGTTCTATCTTGAGACACACACTCCGTGTCTCCATGTATTTCATCAAAACCAGCAAAAAAGAGTTTATCAAGTGGTCCAATGAGTAGCCCAGGCAACAGGGGCCAACCAATATCTCCAGCAGTGGACTTYGCTCTGCCAGCCTCTGTGCCACACCCGCTCGACCTGGGTTGTCATATCTCACCCTCAATCCAGCCCCCGAGATGGATGGTGTTGTCAGTATCACTCAGTTTTACAGATGAAGAAACCAGGCCCAGAGAGGTTAATCAATCAGACGCTAGATCACACAGCATGGAACTCCCAGAGCCTGAACTCCAAGCAAGACATCTGCTTTTACACCTTCAGTGCCTGACCAGCACGTACTTCAAACTCAAATTCTTACACCAGTTTAGTGGTCTGCATAATTTCCAGTATTAGAGCCCAGAGTGACATCCCTTTCCCCAGGTCCAGTGTCCCCTCCGAGGGGGCTCAGCTGTGCTCCAGACCCAAGCAGAGCAGCAGTGGCCTGTGGTCAGCACCATGTGAATACTCTAGGCCCCCATCTGTCCTCTCTGCCGTCCCCTACCTGGTCAAGTACCAGGGTCCAGGCCACGCCCTTTCYGGGCCACGTCTGCTTCCCCACCTGCACTTCCTGGGTGCTGCTCTGCGACTTTGAGAGGTTGTCCCAGCCCCAAACCCCAAATTAATAAACAGTGTTTAGGCAAGAAATCCATCATGTCACCAACGAGGTGGCCCAGAGTCTCTGGCAGGGCCAAGAGTCGGTCACAGATCATTAACCACCTGATTGATCTCTGCTTTCCCGACACCAGTCCTGGGGGCCGCCTCCGCCTGGCGCTCTCCCCGGGGAACCTCCGTAAATATCTGCTCATTAGCTGCAGCTCGGCTCACCTGCCCGCCCAGGGCCATCTGTCTCACCTGGATGGCAGAGGCACAGCCTGAGGCTTCCGGGCTGTTCTTCCTGAGGATGGAGGTGGAGGGGCCCGGGGAGGTGGGGCAGCTGCAGGAGGGAGGGGAGAGCCACCAGCCGCAGGGTGACAGCTGGGTCCCCAGGAGTCACCTTCTGGAGACCCTGGGGAGCCTTTCAGGGGAAGGAGAGGGATGCGCACCTGACTCCTGCCCCCAGGGGTCGACGCCTCACAGGGAGTTTTTGTATCAGAAGTTTTTTATTTTTATTTATTTATTTTTTTTATTATAGTAAGACACACATCACAGTCTGCCATCTGCCATCCTGGCCCAGGTGTGCAGCTCGGCGGTGCCAGATCCAGATAATGCTGCGCAGACACACCCACCACCCATCTCCATGGAGCTTTCGTGTTATAAAACCGAAGCTCTGTGCCCATTAAAAATTAAACTCTGAACCCAGCCCTGGCAACCACCCTGCCATTTCCGGCTCTGCCATGTTGACCACTCCACGCATCTCCCAGAGGTGGGAGCCTGTGACTGGCTTCTTACAGTTAGCGGTAGCTCCCCCAGGCGCATCCATGTGGCCACAGGTGTCAGAATCCCCGCCCTTTTTAGGGCTGAGTGATATTCCAGTGTATATGCCACAGACTCCCGACCCAGTCACCTGTGGATGGACACCTGGATAGCTTGCACCTTTCAATTTTTGTGAGTGATGTCGCTAGGAACATGGGTGTCCAGGTATCTCYGATGTCCCTGTTTCCTGGGTACATACCAAGGAGTGAATGATCCTACGGTAACTCTATTTTTAATTTTTAAAGAAGTAGTCACACTGTTTCCCGTAGCAGCTGCACCTCTTGGATTCCCACCAGAGGCATACAGGACTCTGATTTCTCCGCATCTTCGCCAACACTGGTCACCTTCTCTTTTGCTAGGATAGCCATCCCGATCCTATGGAGTGGCACCGATTATGCCACTGTCATATGCAGCTTTGCCCTGCATTTCCCTGGTGACCAGTGAGCGTCTTTTCACGGGCTCAGTGGGCACTTGTACTTCCTCTTTGGAGAAACGTCCATTAAGTCTGGACTCATTTTGAGTCTCTCTTTGGTCGTGACTCTTCGCACACCGGGATTGCCTTTGGGTGGACGGTGTCCCTGGTGCCTCCCACCTTAGTAGCCACAGAGAAGCCCCAGGACGAGAAGCATGACCTGGAGGGGCATGGGTGGGCCTGACGGGGCACTGTGCTGTGCCACCTGAAACTGCTCCGTGCAGAGCTGGCCACCGTGGGAGGAGCCAGTGGCCAGAGGCCCCAGAGACAGGAAAGGCTGGGGGACCCCAGGGAGGCCTGGGAGGGGGCCTGCACCACGGGAGGACGCGCTTCGCCCGGCTGCTGTGGGTGCGCTGGCTCAAGGCCAGTCCTCGCCGGAAGCCTTCCCTGTCTTTCTGCCTCCGTTTCCAGGTCCTCTTCCCTGGGCTCAGGACAGGCAGACTCTGAATCCCTGGTCCGAAGCCCGCCTGCCCTCCTTCACCCAGGGCCAGGCCTCCACAGGCTCTTTCTCTGGGCCCTACTCCCCGCCCCCTTCCCTCCAGATGTCCTTCCCCCAGCTACCACCCTCTCCCTGCTCTCCCTCCGCTACCAAACCTCTGCTTCTTGGATACTGCAGCTATTTAAGGTGCATTTGAGGATGCGGTGGAATCAGGGCTTTGAAAAGCAACAAATAAGACTCCAAGAGAAGGAGCGAGAGAGGTAATCAGCTGGTGCTTTTGATCCTTGAACAGATTCATGTCACTGTGAGCGGCCCTGCTCCCCGCCTGGGCAGGGGCTGGGTACCACCTCAGCTGAGGGCAGCCATTGCCGCAGGAGAAGATAAACAGCGAGTGAGGAGGCCTTTGCCTGGAGACAGAGAGCCTCCGGAGAGGATGGAGGACACCCAGGCTAGTTTACGCAGGGTCATGGTCTCCGTGATACTTGTCAGAATACAATGCATCTTTGGGGGCCTGGTGCACACTGGGAATCCCAGAGGCTMAGGAGGCTGAGGCAGGAGGAACACAGGTTTGAATCCAGCCTCAGCAACTTAGTGAGGCCCTAAGCAACACAGCAAGACCCTGTCTCTAGATAAATCAGAAAAAGGGCRAGGATGTGGCCCAGAGTTAAGAGCCCTGGGTTCACTCGCTGGTGGAAAAGCACAGCATCCATCTAGAATGTACCTGGGCTACAAGGCACAGACCAGCTCAACCAACAAAAAGGACGCTGCTCACGTGACTTGAAGGGCAGAGGAGGCCCCATTGCTGGGCCTGCAGATGCAAGGCTCCACGAGGTCCCGCTGGGACCCTCTCTCTTTGGTCACCCACACATGCCCCGCTGGCCCGCTGCTGTACTGTGGTCCTGAGTGGCCAGAAAGACTTTTACTTCTGTCGCTTCTGATGGGCTCCCCGACTCACTTGTACGTGGGGCSATGCGGGACGGGCAGTACTTCATGCATCTTTCAGACTAAAGAAGTGGCTCAGAACGAGGAGCGAGATAAGCTGAAAAATCACCAGTCACTGAAGGGACAGCCCAGAAAGGCAAAATGACCTGCCCAGACTGACCCAGCTCCCGTGGAGAGGCCAGGAGCCAGGCAAGGCATGGTCCCTATGCTCCGGGAATTCACATGCTGATGCGAGAGACTGACCGACCGCTGCCCGTGACCAACACAGAGTGGACAGGGCGCAAAGCTGTGGACCAAAGGGCGGGTGTGGTGCTGGTGGGGCGCCAGYGAGGTGGAGGGGGGTGGTTGAGAACGGAGGGCGTGGTTTACACCGGAGGGGCGTGGTTTCGGCTGAAGGGCGTGGCTTGGACTGGAGGGGCGTGGCTTAGATCCCAGGACCAGGCTTCAGGTAGGAGATGGAGCCTGTGGAAGTGCAGGTAGCCAGTCTGGGGAACAAGACGGGGGACGGAAGCCTGACCAGGGGGAGATCCATCCTGTTTGAAGAGCAGGGAGCTCGGTGGCTGGAGTGAGCCAAGGTCGAGGTGAGGGCCGGTCCAGGCAAGCTCTTGCAGGTCCCAGGGAGGAGCCGGGGTTTGTTCTGGGTGGTGGGAGCCTGCACATTCCTGAACTACGGGGTGGGAAGGGGAGGAACGGAAGAATAAGATAGAGATGGAGGGAGAGAGTGGGGGGCCAGGGCACAGGCGAGAGGAGCAGAGGGAGGACTCCAGAGAGCACCAGGGGCACAGCTGGGGAAGGGGCGGATGATCGGGGCCCACATCTCAGTGGACCCTGGCGTGACCAGCGGCCTGTGGGCTCTGGTGGTTTGATTTTGCAGGCTGTGCTCTTGGGAGTAGAGGGATTCCAAATCTCTCCCTGGCTCCTGTAAAGGGTCGGGTCACCACTCCTTTCTTCCATGGGTGGACACCAGGCCGGTTCCCCTGCTGGCTAACCACGGTGATTTGTGCTGCAGTTCAACGTTAAAAAATCCACGGAGCCGGTCCAGCCTCGCCCTCTTCTGAAGTTCCCAGACATCTATGGCCCCAGGCCTGCGGTGACAGCTCCGGAGGTCATCAACTACGCAGACTACACACTGGGGACCACAGAGGAGCCTGCTGCGCCTGCCAGCCCCCCTGCCCCCAGTGACAGTCGCCTCAAGAGGCAGGTCACGGAGGAGCTGTTCATCCTTCCTCAGAACGGTAGGGATCCCCAGCCCAGCTCTGTGGGCAGCGGGCAGTGGAGTCTGTCACCGGCTCCGTGGATGCTGGGCCTGGCCTGCCTGTCCAAAAGCCCCAGTGTCACCGCACTTGACAGTGGGCCCAGGGTCTCTGAGCTGGCCTTTGATTCCTGCTGAATGCCACTGTGCTATTTCCCCACAGCCTCCAGCTCTGCACTGGGAAACAGAGTGTCCCTTTCCAGTCACRTGTGGGCAACTCTGGAGAGGGGATAAAGAATCACAGTTAAAACCACTGGCTTCAAAGTCATGGCTTGAATCCTCTGTCCTTTTCTATACTTGCTGTGTGGAATTGATCTTGCTGCTAACCTCTCTGGGCCTCAGTTTCCTCCTCTATGAAAATGAGATGATATTATTTTCTTCCTGTTAGGCTGTGGTCAAGTGTGAATATGATAATGCCTATCAGACGCTTTAATCAGGGCCTCWGCACAAAGACAGAATCGAAACACCGTTTCCGTTCCTCTTTCTGTTCTCCTTTTCATTTGTCAACATCAAGAACACAACATCTGAAGGTGGCTATGGCTGTCACGGGCCCTGGGGTGACATATGAAGCAGAGGCCAGTCCCCATCCCAAGGGAGAGCGGAAGCTTTTTAGGGAGGAGAAGCTAAAACCAGGGGATGGCTTCGCACATGGCCTAAGTTTTGCTCTGTGAGGTCTGTGCGGGAGGTGGCGGAAGCGGAAGTAGCCTAGAGCCTTGGACACTGACCCCACCCTGATTCAACTGGACCCACACTGGCCAGTGGACAGGTGCCCCTTCCTGGCCCGCCCAGAAGCACAGTGAGGAACCAGCCTGGCGTTTCAGGATYGGATCCCCGCAACGCCTGCAGTGTGGACAGGCTATCCTGGCTGGCCTAAGCCTCCAGGGGCTAAAAGCAGACCTGCTGCAGCCTTGAGACCTCAAGGTGGGGGCCRGAGAGATTTGCAGGAAGACTCTTGGGTGATCGGTGTGGTCATAGCCCCCTCTCCTGGRAGCCCCCGATTGCTCAAGGCTTGGACGAAGCCAGGACTGGACACTCTGCCCAGGAGAGAGGGAGAGCCAAGCCGGGCCTTGCTTTGCAGAATGCAGGATTCATTCATTCATTCGGCCTCCTCTTGGCTGCCCCCGCAGACACAGCTTAGTTATGTTGCACAGAAACCTACTGAGGCTCGGCTGATTGGGCAGACAGTGACCAGAGGTGAAGGAGCGTAGCGGGGCCACCAGATCTTTCAGCCACTGTCCATGATGTGCTGAGCGTATTGGCTCCACCAGCCAGGCCACCCATCCCCCACTGTAGAGCGCAAAGACTCACTTCTCCTTGAAGCCGAGTCCGCATCTCTAGGAGGTGCTGGCCCTGTGGTCCCTCCTGGTAGGGAGGGACAGTAGTAGAGTCACCTGCAGTTACTGCATCTGAACAGGACCCTGTCACCCTTGGTGGAGGCTGGTTCTGATGCCGAGGGCTGAGGCCACCTGAGAGCTGAGAGCCCTGGGTACTGCTCCTAAGGTGGATACCACTGTGAATGTCCCTGTGATGGCAGCCACGGGGGCCCTACCTACACCTGTGTCTCGCTGTACATGTTGGTTACACCTGGTCAGCGGCTCATCTTAGAAGCACTAGGGAAATTTCTTAGTACTTGCAGGAAACTAATAATGAGCCAATTGGGAGATCAGCAGACCTCTGCGGTTCTACCCTCTGAGTGAGTTCTGAGAACCAGAACTTAAACTCTGGTTTACTTAAAACAGAGTCTCCCAGAGCTACTGGGTCCTTTTAATTTTTGTATTCTGTCTGACTCATGAGAATCTTCCCATGTTAGGCTCCTGTTTAAGTGAGGGGCACGGAGAGCAATAGTTGTGGGTTTAGGATCCTCTAAATTAAAGATACGTTTCCCTCTTCACTCATCAAACGTTTATTGGACATGCATCAAAGTCAAATCCACCACCTTTACCCTGGCCCTGACGTCTGTCTCCATCTGTGAGCTCCTGGGGAGAAGGCACGGGGCTCTGTGGGAGGGGCGGAGCCAGCTGGGGGGCAGAGCCAGGTAGGCCAGGGCTGCTCAGCCTCCCACGCCGCCACCAGGCACACAGGCTGTGCCACTTATCTTTACCGGAAGCTCACCATGGACCAGGCGGTGGGCTAAGAACGTCTCCTGCTTTATTCCATTGAATGTGCGTAGTAACTCTAGGAAAGAGAAACCCTGACTGTCCCCATTATAAAGATGAGGAAACCGAGGTTCAGAGAAGTCCAGCACCTTGTCCAAGGTCACCTGGTTGTTCTGAAACAGCTCCTGTCTGACAGCAAAACCCACATCTCGGTTGCTGAACTATGACAGTCCCCTGAAACGCAAAGCCCAGGTCCGACCACCGGGGTGGCCTTGGTGCATTGAACTTTAGGAAGCGTGGGGCTGGGGTCTGTGGCTGGGGTGGCAGAGATGAGAAAGGAGTGGTGAGGGAAGGGTGCCGGTGTGGGGCAGTGACGGCCCTGACTGTCCTGCAGGCGTGGTGGAGGACGTGTGCGTCATGGAGACCTGGAACCCAGAGAAGGCGGCCAGCTGGAACCAGGCCCCCAAGCTGCACTACTGCCTGGACTACGACCCGCGCAAGGCCGAGCTGCTGGTGACCCGCCTGGAAGGTACCCAGGGAGGGGTCCTGGGGAGCCCACGGGGGAGGAGGAGACCCAGGGCGGGCACAGCCTCACCCGGGGTGCGGCACTCGCCACTTCTGCTCAGGCCCCRCTGGTTGGAACCCAGTCACGGGCCCAGCTCATGGCAGAGGAGCCCAGGACGCGGCCAGCCGCTGCCCAGGCCAGGGACGTGAGCTGGGGAATCGCTGTGTCTGCCCTAGGTGCCTTGGCAGGGCCCAGGGCTCGCGCTGGATGCAGAGGGTCTTTGGCGGGGGGGGAAGTTCTGCACTTCAGGACCCAGCAGTGTCCCTGAGGGGCCACATGGGCTTGGTGACCTTCCCCTGAGTGTTTCCTTTGCCATCAGCAAACTCTACTAAGACTTTGCCAAGAAACCAGGGCTGTCAGATAAATGGGGCCTCTGTGATGGATTTCCTCTTTTCTGTTTATCTTTCTATCACTGAGACTCAGCATCAAAGGAAGGAAGATTTACTTTGGCTCACGGTTTCAGAAGTGTCAGCTTGGCTCGCTGGGCCCTGTTGCCGGGGCCTGTGGCCAGGCAGAGCACCATAGCAGGGACCACGTGGTGGCGATACGCTGTGACCATGGCAGGAAGGCAGCAAAGAGAGAGGAAGAGGCTGGGGTCTCAGTAGCCCCGTGAAGGGCACCCTCCCACGGCCTAGCTTCCTTCCCCTAGGCCCTCCTCCGAAAGGTCCCACCACCTCCCAGGAGCACCGTCAGCTGGGGACCAACCTCCAACATCTGGTCTTTGGAGGACTTTTTAGTCTAAGCCATAACAGGTTGTTTTGTTTCTCCTGCTGGAGATCAAAGCCAAGGCCTCCCAGGTACTCAGAGAGCCCTGAGCTATACCCCCAGCCCCTAGTTCCCTTTTTGTGAGCGAGTGTTTTTCCTCTTTGGTGTCTTTTGGATTCTCAGCACTTTCGTATACTTTAAGACATCTGGTCTTCATGACAGTCCCGTTTCACAGGTTGGGAAACTGAGGTCGAGCAACTCCTATGACTTGTTCAGGAAAGTTCCGAGTAGCCAGTGGCAGAGGCAGGCCTAACCCTCCCTGCAAGCCCGGGATGAAGCTCTGTTAGGCTACGTCACCTTCGTTCTTCATGTTCTTATCCTGTGAAATCCACTTCCACTTTCCAATCTCTCATTAAAGAACCAGTTATCAGAGTACCACCAGGGGGAATTGGGGGGTAAATCCACACGATTATGCACTGAAAACATCGCTGAGTGATTCCCGGGAAGGCTGTAATTTGGATCTCAAGGGTTTTTCCCAAAGGCTGATGTGGTAGAGGCTTGTTCCCCAAGGCAGTGCTGAGGGAAGTGTGGAGCATTTAGGAGGCGGGGCCTAGAGGGAGGCTTTTAGGTTATTGGGGGTAGGTTCTCAAAGGAAACTGTGGGACCCTGATACTTCCTCTTGGTCTTGTTAGCTCCCTGGCTGTGAGGTGACTCAGTTTCCTCAGCCACACGCTTCTGCCATGATGTGCTTCCTCCCCACAGGCCTAAAAGCAATGGAGTTGTGGATGGGAACCTCTCAAACTGTGAGCCAGAATAAACCCTTTTTCTTGATAAGTTGACTACCTCAGGCATTTGTTATAGTAACCGAAAGCTGACATGATCACGTTGTGCAACGCATTAGAAACACCAAGGTTCAAAACATAAAACATTCATGAGGCAGCAGCCAAGTGATTCACACCACAAGCGCTTCTGTGGTAAATATTTAAAGTACAGAACAAATGAATCACAGTATCAGCAGTAGCACTAATAAAGTCAGCCCTGGCGCCTTGGGGAAGTCTCAGAATCTTGAGACCAGAAGGGCCCCAGGAAGTACTGACTCTTGTCACTCTTGTCACTGTTGTCCCAGGAAGGCTAGCGTGTGCTGCCGTGGGCCTCCCCAGATGGCCTCCCCAGATGGCCTCCTTTTCTAAATATCTTGCTTCTGGGCAGGGCTGCAGTTTCCAGGGTGGTCAGCTCCGAGGTCTTTCGGACACCCAAGGTCACGGCCACTAATCTGGATTCCACAGCCCTCATTAGGGCCCCGCTGCCCCCTGCCCCGTCCCTGGTAAGTCCCAGGCCCAGGTTGCTTTGTCTTGCCTGCAGCTGTGACCAGTGACCACGACGGCGGCTGTGACTGCTACGTCCAAGGCAGTGTGGCCCACAGGACCGGCTCTGTGGAGGCCCAGACGGCGCTGAGGAAGCGGCAGCTGCTCACCACCTGGGAGGAGGGCCTGGTGCTGCCCCTGGCAGAGGAGGAGCTGCCCACAGCCACGCTGACGCTGACCCTCAGGACCTGCGACCGCTTCTCCCGCCACAGTGTGGCCGGGGAGCTCCGCCTGGGCCTGGACGGGGTGTCTGTGCCTCTGGGGGCCGCCCAGTGGGGCGAGCTGAAGACCTCGGCTAAGGTAGGGCCGCCTCGCAGTCGGACGGTGGCGCCGGTCCGTGGAGCCGGGAGGGCTGAGGGCTGAGCGCTGGGCTGAGCTGATGGAGCCAGCGGCAGAGACCTTCCCAGGTCGGGTCTTGAACAGGGCAGCCTGGGGCAGCCCGATGCCCAGGGCCCGCTGCTGCCGGGGCTTCTCATTTGCCAGATAAAGACGCCCCTGACGTCAAGGAGAGAAAGCGCAGTGTCATCCCCATGGAAATCCAGTGACGTTTCTTGAGCACCTACTATATGCTGGGCACCATGGGGAAAGGAACACAAAGGGAGGTGGGCAGACTGGCACAGACCCCTGACGATGACAAGGACCAGGATCTCTGACGTGTGTTGAATCCTGGGACATCTGGGAGGAGGCTAACCCCGGTGTCTGATGGAGAGTTCTGGAAGGGCTGTGTGAAGTGGTGTTCACGCTGTGCTGGGAGGCCAGCGCCCTGCAGAGGGACTCCTGGGAGAGGAGACCATCTTCCCCACAGGCCCAGGCAGCAGGGGTCAGGGCCGGGCAGGGCTGGGGAGCAGTGGAGGGAACTTAGGGCCTGCGTCAAGGTCCCCACCAGGGGTCTGCTGCACTGTGTAGAGGCTGTGAGGCCCGCGAGCCCCAGAGGTCACTATCCGGGCTCCCTCGCGGGCTTGCTGTTGCAGTGCTGGACCTGGTCATCTGGCTGCTAGGTCTGAGCACCACAGGGTCAGTGCAAGGCCCAGACTAGACCTGAGGTCCCCCTCTGACCTCCCAGACCAACCAACCGAGGGAGACAAGCCATCCCCCCTGCAGACCAGGGAACTGCCCGGGTCACCCAGCCAGGACCCAGCACAGCCTCGAGCTCGGCCTTTCCAGCTGTCAATCAATCCTGCAACGTCACCAGCCACKCGGGCACCCCACAAGCATGAGGTGTGACCCGCAGGCGCCTTCCCTGACAGACACCTGACCACGGGAGAGAGAGCGGGTCCAATGCCGCCTCCCCCCCTCCCCCCCTGAGGACCCTCCTCTTTGCCCCACTTCCTTTCCTCCCAGGCTGAGGAAGCTGACCGAAGGATCACAGCCGCTGGCTCTCAGATGGAGCGGGCTGCTTCGCTGGCTCTCAGATGGAGCGGGCTGCTTCAAGGCACTCTCTCTAATTAGCATGTGACTGGGGACTTGTGTGGATCACAGGAGGAGATGTGACACAGGGCCCCTGCTGAGCTCCAGGCTTTGTTGGGGCCCCACAGGGCTGAAAGTGGCCGTCTGGGAGAGTCTCGGGCCTGTCCTTTCTTCTCCCCTGACCCCTGGAAGAGCAGTAGCTCTCATTCATTCCACAAACCCCTGCCCTGCTCCCACAGGGCACCCTGCCCCATGCCAGGGCCCGGGGACCAGGCCATACCACAGAGGAGCCTGCTGATGCATCTGGATAATCATCACTGCTGATAATTAGAATATTCTAGAATATTCTAGAATAGTCCTCTTCGGGTGTGTGAAGCAGAGCCCCAGGCCAGGCTGGCCAGCGCCCACCCTTGCAGGTGCAGGGTGCGGGCTGATGAACCCCGAGGTGGAAGCCAGGGGTGGTTCCCACCCACTTTTACTTTTCTGGGCCAGAGTGGTCAACGGAGGTGCCAGCCGCGCTCCAGGTCTGGCCGGAAGACAGGGGCCCAGAGCGGTAGGTGCGTCATTGAGGACCTCAGCGAGTCCCACTCCAAGGGCGCCCTTGAGTGAYTCATCGAGAGCCTGAGAGGAAGAGGAGGTGGAGGGACCAGGAGAGGAAGAGAGGGTCATTGTTGTCCCCAGGGACTCGGGGCAGGCTCTGCTGGAGCCTCCGGCTGCAGTGCAGACGGCGGGCAGGGCCAGCTTCCTATACACCGGAAAGTAGTGCAGCGTCCCCTGGTCTTGGGGACGAGTGGACGGAGCACAGTCACCCGGGGCTACAGCCAGGCCACCCTGGACCCTGTAGGTGATCTTCAGTTGGGAGATCTGTCCCCAGCCCACCCTGGGAGCGCTCTGCTGCCCCTGGCCAGGAGCCCGACACAGTCCCCGGGCCTCGCAGGGGCAGCCTGTCCATGCAGGAGGCCAGCGCCTCGGGTTTAGGACAGGGGCTTCCCTTGCTGACCAGGCCTCCTCCGAGTCCTCGGGCTGCTTCTAGCCAGAGCCAGGCCCGCGAGCCTCCTCGAGCACCAGGCTCCTGGGCCTGAGGCGGAACAAGGTCAGCTCCTTTCAGGGTGGTGCAGGGTGGATGGGGCCTCTTCCCTTTGACTCTTCTTGTGACATTTATGTGCCAAGTGCTGGGATGCGTGGTGACCTTAGGGCCCAGAGCCACGGGGAGGGTTTCACAAATGTCACTGGTTGAGATTCAGGTCTTTGCGAAGGTTCCCAAGTCACTTTGTCACACGACTGATCACGGTGGGGTCCTGCTGAGTGGAAAGTGTGACCCAAGGCAGGGGGTCTGAGAGTGCAGGTGGAGAGCTCCCCCAAGCCCAGCTGCCTCCTGTTCACCCCAAATGAGGCTCCCCAGTTCACCTGAGCAAGTACTGACGGCTCTTCCACGAGAATTAATGACCACAGCCGCAGCAGACAGTCCCTTGTGCATGGTGTGTTCCAGGCGCTGCTATAGGCCCTCGAATACGAGGGGGTTAAATCTTCAAAACCTGGCTGGGGTGCTGCACATGGGGTCCCAGCGACTCGGGAGGCTGAGGCAGGAGGATCTCAAGTTCCAGGGCAGCCTCATTAGTTTAGTAAGACTCGATTTCAAAACTTAAAAAGAAAAAGGTTGGAGATGTAGCTCGGTGGTAAAGTGCCCCTGGGTTCAATCCCCAGCACAGAAAGAAGAAAACAAAATCTTCCTGACACCATCAGGTAGAAATAATCCTACTTCCATTTTTCTGATGAGGAAATGAAGGCCCAGCAACTGGCCTCAGGCCACCCAGGGAGGAAGTGGGGGGACTGGAACTCAGGCCCAGGCTGGCTCTGGGGTTGTCCTCCCAGCCTCACAGAGCTTCGCTCTGGGCTGTTAAGAAGGGTAGTCTGGACAGAGGTCGTTGGAGTCGTCATTTGTGACCTTTAGTGAGGACTTGCCACACCCTGTTCTCCCTTCATCCCAGGTCCTCCTCCTCCCAGCACTGGGCCCCGCCCCAGGTCACCCCTCATCACCTCCTGCCTCCCTCCCGTATGAGATGCAGGCCCCTGGAGGCTGACTGTGTTTTAATCATGGCTTTGAGAACATAGTGGACGCTTTATGCAGGCTTGCTAAGCGGACCCCGCCCCTMCGTTTCTGGCAAGGAAACCCACATTTGGAGAAGCCTCCTGCGGGTGGGTGAGGAGTGGAGCTGCTCTTGGTCACGAGTCACAGCGTGGTGTCACCTGGTGACGGGCAGCCCCTGGTTGCGGAGGTCACAGTGAGCAGAGGAGGCTGATTCCCACCCCCTGAGCCCGTGTCCGGGGGAGATGGCAGATGTCCCCACGTGTGCGAGGGTGAGGGACAAGCCCAGGTGCTCTGACACTGCTAACCCGGCCCGTGCCTCCCTGAGCTGCCCCGAAGCTGCAGGGGAGGGGACAGGTGAGAGTCGGGCCACCTGGGGTGCGCCTGACCTCCCATTCCCTCCCAGAACCCTCACCCCCTCCTCTGCCTGGCGGCTGCCCGGGAACCTTGGGGAAAGKCCACCTGCTTTCTGCTCAAATGGAGCCTTGGTGCCCGGCTGGCCCTGCCACCCCACCCTCTCCTCCCTGCCAGCTCCCGGGCTGGCATTGTCACCACAGCCCACCTCCTGGCAGGGGCCCTTCTCTGCTGAAATTCCCAGCAAGCCCTCGAAGGCCTTTCCCCGAGACTTGGGAAGCTGCTTTTGTGGACCYGCGGGTTCCCCTGCTTCCTGGGAGCACCCGGGTCCCCTCCGAAGTGCGTCACTGGCCCGTGGTCCCCGGCGTATTTCCCACACCCTGAGCCTGGGGTCGCACTGACCTCTGTCGGTTTCCCTGAGGGTCTCCCGGGCTGCGGGGTCGGCTGCCGTCATCTTTTCAAATGAAGAGACGGAAGACCAAGCCCCTGCTGCCCACCAGCCCCACTGTCACCGAGTGACCCCTTCCCGCACGCCCCCCTGTGTCGCAGGAGCCGTCCGCCGGAGCTGGAGAGGTCCTCCTGTCCATCAGCTACCTCCCGGCCGCCAACCGCCTCCTGGTGGTGCTGATCAAAGCCAAGAACCTGCACTCCAGCCAGGCCCGGGAGCTGCTGGGGAAGGGTAAGGCTGGGGGAGGCCGGGGCTGCCGCGGGGTGGGGGTGGGGACACCAGGGAAAGGGGGTCAGAGCGCAGGAAGGCAGGACAGGAGCACAGTTCTCAATCTGTTACCGTCTAGGGGTGCTGGGTACAGTGTCTTCGCTCAGCAAAGAATTGAACAAGACGCAGAAGCTGGGCGCCATGGCCCACGCCTATAATCCCAGCAGCTCAGGAGGCTGAGGCAGGAGGATCGCGAGTTCAAAGCCAGCCTCTGCAGATGAGTGAGGCGCTCAGCCACTCAGTGAGACCTGTCTCTAAATAAAGTACACAACAGGGCTGGGGATGTGACCCAGTGGTCAAGGGCCCCTGAGTTCCATCCCTGGTACCTGCCCCTCCCCCAATAAAAAGAACAGGACCCAGAGATGACGAGCAAGAGCAGGGTTATGGCAAAAGCGACACAGACAGACTTCTCCAAAGAGAAGGGGCCCTGGAGCCAGGAGTCTGGTTGGGGAGCTTTGACCTGTTCTTCTTATGGTCTCTGGAGTGTCCTCCAGGCCAGCCTCCACCCCTGTCCATGTGCTCCTCACTGTTGTTGATTGGCGCCCCCCACCCCTGTCCATGTGTCTGTCTCCATTTTTCTTTGGGATCCCACTTAGAGGCATGAGTGCGGAAGTGTCTGTCTGATGGGGTCCCCGCTTGTGTCCAGGAGCACTTTTGTCCATCAGGGAGGTGACCTCATCAGAAGACCTTCTCCGTGCTCCTTTGTTCTGGCCCTGCCCCCGGGCCTCCTCCCTCGCCATCTTGCCCCGGCTGCCTGCGCCCTCCTACATGTCCCTCCAAGTCGTCCTCAGATGGGGCCTCCACCTAAAGGGATAACTAATTTTGAAGGCCACACTTCTTGGAGTCCACATCCATTCATTCCTGGGCCTGGTAGGAGCTACCCGGGGCTCCCGACCTTGGCGATCCACCAGGATCAGCCTCTACCCTGGGAGCAGAGCTCCTGGGCTGTCGGGAACTCAGGCCTGGCTGGACACACCTCTGGGGCAGGCGGTGCTGTGGGGAAGGCCAGGTCCTCTGTCTCCGCCAGCCACACTGCACTCTACACCCTCCCCAGTCTCTGTTCTCAGCCTTGGCCAGCTGTCCCCCCCACACCCGCTGAGTGTGGGCGACGGCAGAAGGTGTGTGGGTGAGGCTGAGGCCCGAGGCTTAGGGCATCTGTGCCCCACATATCCACAGAGGCCCCTTCCCAACATTTTGGAAGCCTTATTTTTTTCCCTTCTAGATACCCCAGCACAGGTCCCAAGTCTTGGGGACCAAAGTGCTGATCCCAAGTCTTGGGGACCTATCAGAGCAGGAGAGCAGCCCAGGTTAGCAGGGCGTTCCTGAACTGGGATCCAAGTGCTCATAGCAAGATAGAAATAAGTCTCTATTTATAGAAGGATACAAAGATAGAATTGCCACTGTGTTCTGAATCTTTGAGCAAAAGATTTTGGGTGAATAAAATCAGAAGGGTTGAGCTTGCTGGAAGATTCTGGAGCCCAAGGTCAGAGTTCAGTGCTTTGTCCTTGTCCCCTCCAGTTAGTTCTTTCTCTCTCTCTCTCTCTCTCTCTCTCTCTCTCTCTCTCTCTCTCTCTCATAGCTCTGTAAGAACAATTATAGCTCAGCACTTTGTCTCTGAAATCTCTCTGCTGAAATAACAAACTAACCACCCGGGGGTGATAATTACAGCAATAAATACACAGTAACAATTATCCTCACATTAGCTTCCGGAACCTTGACTAATGAAATAAGGAGAGCTGTCTAGAGACCTATGGGTGGGTTCCTGGGGGACAGCGCTACTGGACAGAGCCTCGGGTGGGGGTCAGGCCATCTGCCTTCACCTTCCACAGGAAGTGGGAGTCCTCAAAGGAAGACTGGCAGAAAGTACAGGTGAGCACCCCACCAAGCAGCAGGAGCACCCCCCCAGGCAGCAGGAGCACCCCACCAGGCAGCGGGAGCACCCCACCAGGCAGCGGGAGACCCGCTGTCTCAATAATGAACAGGACGGCTTGGGGGGACCCTCAAGGGGACAGGGACCTGGGGATGGCATTGCTTCTCTGGTCTGAGTTTAGAATCTAGCTGAGCCATTGTTCTGGACTTGCTTGGATCTAAAGATACAAAGTTACATGGACGGGCTCAGAGCAAGTGACTTCATGTCCATCTCCTGGTGGCACCTTACCAGGCCCCCATAGGAACCATCCAATGACCAGCATCCTAAGTTATGGTATAGGTAAGCACCTGGATCCAAAGACCCAAACTACCAAGTGCTCCAAAATCTGAAACTTTCAGCACAAGTGGAAAATTCTACACCATGGAATTTGGTGCCTGCACAAAATTATTTTAAAAATTGCATAAAATGCCCTTCAGGCTGTGTGTATGAGGTGCCTATGAAACTGAAACAAATTTCATGCWTAGACTTGGGTCTCATGCCCAAGATGTCTAGATGTGTCTATGCAAATATGACAAAATCGGAAAAGCCTCCCGGCTCTGAAGCATTGGTGGGCCCGAGTGTTTTGGATAAGGAATCTTCAACCGCTATCGGCCATTTCCCAGGCTTCAGAGAAAGTTCTAGAGAGGCAGACAGGTTTGCTGGATCCCCACGTCGAGACCAGGGCCCGCCATGTGGGAGGCACTTAATAGATGTTGGAGGAACACGTGGCCCAGGGGGCGAGTGGGGAGGGCCCCGGGAGCTCACTTGGCCTCTCTCTGTCTCTCTTTCCTCCCTGCCCCTCCTCAGATGTCTCTGTCAAGGTGACCTTGAAGCACCAGGCTCAGAAGCTGAAGAAGAAGCAGACAAAACGGGCCAAGCACAAGATCAACCCCGTGTGGAACGAGATGATCATGTTCGAGCTGCCCGACGACCTGCTGAGGGCGTCCAGCGTGGAGCTGGAGGTGCTGAGCCAGGCCGAGGCGGGCCAGAGCTGGGCCCTGGGCCACTGCAGCCTGGGCCTGCACGCCTCTGGCTCGGAGCGCAGCCACTGGGAGGAGATGCTCAAAAACCCCCGCAGGCAGATTGCCATGTGGCACCAACTGCATCTGTAGGGCCCCCAGCCCGGCCTCCCGGGGCACAGCCCGGTCCTGCAGCCCCACGGTCCTCGGTCCTCGCCAACTCCCCTTGTGCCCGCCCTCCTTTGCGCTCAGAAGGCAGAACGGATGTGTTTGCAAAGCCCAGGACCCTTCCCCTCTCACCACACTCCCGGTTTTATAAAAAAAAAAAAAAAATCACAAAGCCAGCCGGGCAGTGTGTGGAAACGGGACGTGAGGGCCACATGAGCAGGCACTTCTGCTCACCTGTGTCCTGGAGAGTCCCGCCCCAGGGGCACCTCGCAGGCAGGTGTTGCAGGTGAGGTGGGCCAGGGGCGGGGAAGCTTTAGCTGAGGAATTCTGGGTGCAAAGAAGATGGTGACTTTTTAAAAATCAGCATCTTAAAAAATAATATCAAGAAAACTGTCCCGTATCCACCCATCCATCAGGTCATCGGGGTGAGTGACAGCTTGGCCAGCTCCCGCCCCAGGCAGGGACCAGCGGTTCTCAGACACTGGAACATGAAGAATCACCAGCAGATCCCCGGCTGCCTGGGGGCGTCCCAGGTCAGTGTCCCTGGCCACGGCCCAGGCGCCTTCACCTTCAACCAGCACCGGTGATTCCGACGCGGAGCGGGAGGACTGTGCTGGAGAGATCCTTCTACAACATTCCAGACAGCTCCAGCCAGCCCTTGACGGGCCAGGGGCACCCAGTTCAAGGCCGGACTCCTCATCTTAGAGTGAACTTAGATATCCTCTGTTTTTAATTTATTTTAATCCTTAATTTAAAAATCTGTGCTTTTCCGATTCTGCTCTTGGGCGGCATTGTGTGTAGTTGCTTTTTTAATTGAAGAACTTTATTGTTTTATCTTCAGATCGGCTTATGTGATACTTGGGGAACCCTTCCCCCACAAAGTATTCGTAGGATCCCCTGCGGGTCCCCTGGACGGCATGTTGACTGAGTGTGAGTTGCCATGTCCACCAGCATCACCAAAGTGACCCTGTGAGACAGACCCGCCCCCTGCTCAGCCTTCCAGCCACTCCGGGAAGAAGTTCGTTAGGAATGTGGTCTTTTGCACCTGGCTATACAAAAGTAGGGTTGGAAGACAATTTTAAAAAGGACACAAGCTCTTTTGCAGTTGTGCCTCCCTCCCTCCTTCTGTTTTGGGGACTTCCCCCTGGTCACCCCCAGCAGATGTCCCATTGTTGATCCAGTCTAAACGATGCACCTGCTGAGTGGCTATAGCTCTCATGGGGAACCGGACTCCTGGGTGCTCTGTGGTCATCACTGACCTCAGAACCTCAGCGTGGCGTCTGGAAAATAGGACCAGTGTCGTGGGAGCTGTCTGCATGGGATGTGACAGACGAGCCGGTGTCCAAAAGCTGTTGGCTAAAAACAGATCTAGCCATGATCTTGAGGCTAGATCACTGTCGTTCACTTGGAGTTGGCAGTGGAAACCCCCAGATGGTGCCAGAACCAYGCAGCTGTTTCCACCACCAGGGATTCTGCCTCTTCTAGACGAACTCCAGACTCTGGACTTTAGGGCTACCCCAGTTCCCTGACCTACAGGAGGGTTTCTAGACGGAATCAGGGTCTCCTCCCTCCACRAGGCCGGTCATTCTCAACTCTCCCTGAGAGTCTGAGCAGGAACCTGAAACCTTTGGTCATGATTTTCTCTTTCTGTACAGAAACAGAAACGCATTTGAAATAGCTTCTGTTTTTCTGGAAAATTGGAAAAGCCCCTAATCCTTCTTCCATGGGCAAGTCTTTCAGAGAGTGGGGAACCTGGCCCTGGCCAAGTGTTTGGAGGTGAGGCAGCATCCRTGTTTCCCCAAGGTGTGTTTCTGAGGCCCAGCGTCCACCCCACCCCGGTCTCCTTGGCTTGGAATGGCAAACAGAGTCCAGTATGTTCCCCAAGTCAGTGAGCGCTGAGCCCACTCTGTTCTTGGTAACACCTGCTACTCCAGTCTACAAAAGTCTGGGTTTGGACTTAAAATCGGGAAACCTGTTTTTTTTCCCTATACACCTGCCTTGGACCCCCATCAGGACATGGGAGGGGGTGCTGGACRGGACCCCTGGCCCCTGGGTGTCCATCCCACCCACAGTCTTCCATGCATTTCTTTGGGCCCCAAAGGTTTAGTTTTCCAGAATTCAAACGAAGGGTTGCCCCTGACGGGGAGTGGCATTCCACCACAGGACATCCCGGTGTCGGCCACCACCCCCCTCAGCAGGGATGCGCAGAAGGAAGGCCAACTCTGGGGGTTTCGTCTGGGCATTCATGGGCACCCACCACGTGCCCAGGATAGAGCTGTGGTGTTTGTTGAATGAATTCATGAAGGAAGAATGGGTGGATGGGAGGAGCTGGAAAGAGACCCTGTGATTGGCAGAACAGTGAGCAAACCCGGCGGAACTGTCATTGGGAAGGACACCGGTCATCTCAGTGGACCTGCCCATTCAGGACATTGATACTGCTGTCCAACTAAGGACRAGCCGTAGCCCTCCACAGAAATGTAAGGAACAAAAGAAGGCCACGGCACGGCAGGCRTGAAGCCGAGTTGGAGATCCAGCGAGACCCTTTCACCTGAACTGGTACCCACAGGGGGACCTGGTCCTTCCACAGAGGTGGCCTGGGGATTCAGGCCATCCAGACGGTCTCGTTGAGGACCTGCTCGCCAAGGTCTTGCCTCGAGTCACTCCAGCCTGAGGCAGGACCTGCTGCAGGTTGGGTGACAAATCGTCCTGCCGGAGCGAGGCGGAGAGAGTGAGGGGGGTTCTCCGGGGTCAGTTCCTTGGGGATGTGAAGGAGTCTGGGCGGGAAGGCGGCCGCAGCCTAAGCCACACTGGGGTGGGGACAGCCACAGGAGACCTCGTCCGCGTGCTGTTGATTCTGCCTTCGGTGTCTCCTGTCGCCAGATGCTGTTGTGTGTGTGTGTGTGTGTGTGTGTGTGTGTGTTGCCATCATGAATCAAAGCACAAAAAGACGCATGAGACATTGTGGCCCCATGTCTGGTGTCGCACTTTGGAGCAAAAACCTTGCAGTGATAAATAAAGACTCTCCAACAGGGTGAGCCGCTTCGTGTACCTCTTTTCTCCCCCCTTTGACTCAATATTTTAGAAGCATAAAAAAAGGCGTTCAGTGAGTCCTCTTAGACCACTGCCAAGTTTAATGACGCTTAACTACAGCCAAAGCCCCCTCGGGTGCCTTTATCAAGAGACCTGGATCCTGAGCTTGGCTTCCTGATCCCACACATTCCTTTATAATTTCCACTACATACACCTGTACATCCCAAGCACCGTAGAGTACTTGGTTTTCATGGTTTTTAAAAATTACATCACACAATTTTTGCTCACCACTGAAATTCTGAGCTTCATCTCTGCAGGCAAGTGCTATTCTAGTCATTTCCTTTTCACTGCTATATAATATTCATCGTGCGGACATGCCACACCCATTCTTCTGTTGATGGACATTTAGACACTTCCCCTTTATTCATTCATTTCCTTTTTTCTTTCTTTCCTTCCCTCCCTTTTCTCTTTCTCTTTCCCTCTTTTTTCCTCCTCTTCATTCTTCCTTTTCTCCCTCCTCCCTTCCATCTTTCTCTTTCTCTTATAGGAAATGTTGCTATGAGCAGTCCCATGGTTTCTCCTGTGCACTCACACAAGTCTCTTTAAGTTATGCACCTAGGAGTGAGTGGAATTGCTACAACATAGAGTACTCGTGTGTGTGTGTGTGTGTGTGTGTGTGTGTGTCCTTTAACATCCCCCAAAGAAATACTCCATCATCAGGGCCCGTGGAGCATCCAGGGTTACCCCTGAGCTCCAGGTCGTAGGCACACAAAGGGGACTCCTGGATCCTGCCACCCTGGACCCTCCAGGTGGTCTCTGCAGCTCTGGTCTCTAGAGCAAGAGGCCCTGGCCCTGAGTGAGGGGCGGACCTGAACTTTAAAGTCAGTGGGAAATGCCCAGGGACCTGCAGTTAGAGCCGGAGYCTCTCCGGTGGGCGGGAGGGTTCCTGGCGCTGAGCTGCCGAGCTGGCTCCAGGTGCACCTCACTCCTGTTTATGTTGTAGACAAACCTGACCAGACCTTAGAACCAGGTACTTCATAATGAAGCAGGTAAGTGGGTTTATCCCGTGTACTGAAATGTCACATAAACTGTGTCCCAGGTAGTTATAAACAGGCCACCTGGGCCCCAGACTATTAGTGAGGAGTCTGGGTTTATGTGAACAAAAACGGGCAGAGGGAGGGCGAGCTACTCAATGGCACTCAGAGGGCATCGTCCCCTGACGCCCCCAAGACACCACGCCTGGTCCCTGCGCACCACTCACACCCYGTGAGGAGCCAAGACACTGCACCYGGCCCGACTCGCCCTGGCCACCATCACGCCCTGGGAAATCGCCTGGATGTGGGCCATCAGTGAGCGGTCAGCAAGGCCCCTTCTGGCTCTGACCTTTGTGATTCTGCCACCCAGACGGACGAAAACTACCTTCCCCACCGACCTCGGCCTCCAGCTCACGCAGAAAACACCAAACCCGCGTCCTGTGTCCCTGCCCTCTCACCCACACCTGCTCATGCCCCCCCTCGGGTCCCTCCTGGGCCACCCGCTCCTCCGGACAATCGGCAACACACCGAGGCTCCAACGCAGCCTCTTCTCAGCGGCTTCTTTGCTGAGGGCCCTGGTGACTTCCCGCCAAGAGTCTCTATATTTAGAGTCAGGCAGAAGCTCCTGCGCTTTGGGAGCTCCTGAGCGTCTGTTCTGTCCCATTCCCGGGCAGWCACCTATACAGGTGGCCGGGACGGKGCCTTAGTGTTGGACCACTGCCCCCAGCTCCCCTTCCTGCTGCCCCCAGGTGAGCCYGCATGGACGGTCCCTGGCGGGGACCTGGGCAGATTTCCCAAGCCAGAGACGAGGGCGGCTGCCTGAGAGGAGGATGGCAGGAAGCTGGTCCTGACAGCGGAGGCTGGACTTCGCCTGGTAGTGACCACCATGGGACTACAGCCTGGTGGTGGCTTGTCCCTGCT